TTCCAAAACTGGCCATAATTATTGTAGCCCTTCTTATCCAAACAAGTTGCCGCAAACTGATTTCAAATATCTCAAATAGTTAAAAAGTTAAAGAGGGTGCAATTTATTTTTTTTGTCGCCCTCATGGTTATTTGCTATTGAAACGTTTTAGGGCGCCATTTTATTATTAGTGAGCCGATTTTGGTTTTCTTTATGTTAATTTTAATGTTTAGTCAAGACCTGTAAAATGATACCAAACTCGACTATACTTGTCATTTGAAATTTTTTAGCCACTTCCTACCCCCGCTACCCCTAAGGGTAAAATTTTCAAAATCGACCATAATTATTGTAACCCTTCATATCTAAAAAGGTTGCCTTAAACCGATTTCAAATATCTCAAATGGTTGAAAAGTTAAGGGGGGTGCAAGTTACTTTTCAGCCATCCTGTATATTGTTGGTTCAATGGAAGATACTAACCAGAATATCTTTCTGGGTAGAAAGGTGCTTACTGTGATTACCTTCATATCTGAAGGATACTGCTTCTATCACAATTGTCTATTCTGAAGCCATCCCCATTTGTCTTAGGGATATTTACAATTGATGTAGTAGATGCTGAAGTAAAAGGTCAACGTCAGATCGAAAAAGATAGAGGTTAACTGGTTAACTGTATAGAGGTTTAGAGGTTAACTGTAAGAAAGGACCATGAGGTCCTAAGTCTCAATAAAGAATGATTTTCATTTCATTCATTTCAAGAAAGATCTAGGTTTGGACCTTTCCAAAGAAATGTCAATATCGCCATCAACTCTGTACAACACAAAAATAAAATAAATCTAATACTTAGTGTGATGGTTTTTTTTTATGTTACGCCCTCCTAGACATTGTTTTGGAGTTATCAAGAATCAAGCCTAAATATATACATTTACAAAATGTTTCCCCAAATCCCCTTTACCCAGTGACGTCACAGCTGATCGACCACCTGTACAGCGCTACCTTGGACGGGGTGGAGACGCGTGCAGTTTATTGATCTCCTTCGCACGCGTGTCAGAGTGCGTTGACCTCAACCCTGGAACCTGCCCTATGCTGAGCCTCCTGTTGATTCAAGGTCACCTGATTGCTGCATTCTGATAGCAATATAACCGTGATTATGTGCAGTTGTTGCAATTGGGTGGAAAATGACGTGATTCGTTTGGTATAGTCGCACCCTTAAAAGAGTTTAGACAGATGTTTTAAATGCGAACAGAGGAACATGTTTTGTGTATTTAAATGGCAAAGGGTGGCGGATTCAGAAATTTGAAATTGGGTAGATTGGAAGTGGATTCAGAAATTAATTTGTTATAATAAAAAAACTTGTTCTTTGATACCCCTAAGTATTAAAAGAAATACTTTGCAGGGAGGGGATAAGTTGATTTTAAAATAATAACGTACCTATATACAATCTTTTGGCCTAACAAACCAGTCTTTTTGACTATCGCTGATTCAATGTACTGTAGTGTCTTATTTTATCCAAATGTACAAAAACGTATAAATCTTCCTTTTGTATCGGTAACAAGTTTTGATCATTATTAAAATATACATTTTTTTGCAAGGGTCCCTTGGTTAAAAATATTCATATAATACCATTTTCAATCTGTAATTTTATAATTTCTTACAAACCATTGTACCCACTATTATAAAATGTGTGCTTCGTGATTTAAAACGCTATACTTTGTTGATCAGTATTGCTTAGTCTTTACACTCAAGGGCTGATTACTGCATTGCTTTGTTGTATCAGTCAAATAGTATGTTTTTGTTGTCTGGGATACTACGAGCGAACAATGTATCTTTTAAAATATTCATCTGATTTATTATAACAAGAAAGCTCCATGTAAACTGCTCCTTAGGATTACGTTTATATACAGACTATAGTTTTAACCATTAATAGACCATTCAACTACGAAACACAATATGTATGTTATACATACGTTTACATCCAGCAGTAAATAACAATTCAACAGCGAATGATTAACTTATTCCAGCATATTTACTAAATTTGGGATTATTCCATAAATTAATTTAAAACAAATTCATGATTTACTTTTTAATTAAACTCTTAACTACTTTCTCTAGTATCCTACATATAATTTATAACAGATTCTATCTAAAAACGTACAACTTGATTTTTATGGTTCGTTTAAAACCTAAAATAACATTTTAAAACATGGTTTAAAATTAAGGCCCATGTGTATGCATAGGTAACAACATTCAACTTGGTACGTTATTTTTATCTTCTACTAAAACCGAATACCAAAATACTAAACAGTCTCACTTAATTTTCCACGAAAAAGTTTTAACTTTAAGTTATCATGGTTAGGTAATTTATGTTGAATCTACATACATGAGTATTACATTTTAGTGATCACTAACATATAAAGAAGGTCCTTGCCCATTTAATTACAGTTTTATGTATAAAACAATACCTGAAAAACTGACATAACCAGATGTCAAGGAAAGCAAATAATATTTATCTTCAATTTCCATTGTCTGCAGGTGAACATATGGTACGGTTCGAACAAAGAACTAATCTTGGACACTTCCTTCGAACGATACGACCCTCTCAAAGTTACCCCCACCCCTCTACGGCAGAATTGCCTGGCATCATAAACCTACATTCTCAGCTTCGTTTCCTCCCAGGTCCCTTGACCTATTTCGGTCAAACCAAACATAAACAACCTTTAAAATATTATATGGCGTTTGGTTAATAATGATTTATAATTTTATTTAAGTAAACGGTTCAGGTAATTTTATTTTTGTCGCACAAGCTACAGATTCTAAAACGGATGGTTGCCTGCAGTGTGTCTGTCTTGTTATTATGATAGGTTTGATAACCCGATATGCATTTTATTGTCATACAATCATAGTGCAATTGTAAACAATATATCGCTAAGCCATCAGGTAATAAACTTCACGATGTTATAATAATCAATTGTTACATCGTGAGAAAAGGCGTTTAAAACCCATCCCATATTACTGAGTATAAGTAAAATAGAAATGCAAATGTTTATATAATTTCTCACATTCCTCAAATGACGTAATAAGAATATTAACTTAAGCTATAAATTTTAGAAGCGCTATCACGTTAACCTATTAAAAATAAAATCATACATTATAAAAATTGGAGGAAAGTAAACAATTCTACAAATGTTCATTTTAATATAATGATTTTAGTGAGAATGCGTATTTGCTCTAATGTGTTGTGTTTAAATTGAACACCCTTTAGTGGTGTTAAAATAGTGGTTATATAGTTTGTTGTGGTTTGTGGTTATATAATTGTAACTCCACATCGTTAACAACGCTCATAATCTAAAGCTTTTAAGGACTAAATAATAATTATTTTTTACTTTGAATATATATTGATTAAGTTTTTCGTTTAAATAAACAATAGTAGTTTTAAAATAGCATTTTAATATTTTAACACTATGAAGTAACGTTAAAAATACAACCGTATTTTGTTAAACAAATAATACACACTTTTCAAAAGTGTTTTGATCAAAACATACTCATTTTTCAGTCACTAATTTATTTAATATAGCTTATGAAGCGATTACCGAATAAATTCAACTAAAAAAACTATCCATTAAACCTTTTGACGGGTTAGTTCCTCACACAATCTATGGACAACACCGATTTTACATAATAATAGGCTAATAGTATGCGACGAATCAATTAATTCCTCTGCACATGAACCTGGGTGTTTCCAAACAACAAATCAAATTATGGTCGGGCCATTGGACACCTGCCATTGTGGAACTTGCCAAGAACTACTTAAAGCAAATTATCTTGGGTTCCATCTAACTTTATTGTGCCTGACTGGCCATTTCAGATCGCACCCAATCGAAAATAATAAAGCTTGGTGATGATCCTATTGCTTAGTCTAAATCGCTTATATTAACCCATACAGTCTAATAAATATTTCCTTTTTATTTAATCAGTAGAGTCGCATTTAATTTGTTTTCCAAATTACAGAGAAATAATTTAGCCTCGTAAATACAACCTTTTTGTCAATTCATACTAAATAAAATTTAAAAACTTGGTGTTTTTAAATTATGGCCATCATATTAAGGGCCGTAATTTTCATTCATGATAGAACGCTTAGTTCACGTTGAAAATTTAAATTACGCCATCATGACTCAAATGTGGGCTTTAAGGGATTAAAATTTATTTGGCGATAGCGAAACATAATATGTTTTGAACGCAAAATACCGAATCCCTAAGAGCCTTAGTCAAACAAAATAAAACCAGCTAAGACGGTAGCGACTCAAAACTATCTCAACCTTTCTGACCAGCAGAAATTATTGAAATAAGTTGATTCAAAAGAGTTGATTGACAAAAAGTAAATTCTTTTTTGTGACGGAAAAATATCAAGTATTCGATAATACAGAAAACAAAAAAATCTTGAAATAGAAAATTGTATACCTAAAAAAAGTTGGTTAGCATCTAGATTACTGTTTTACGTCCAGCATGTCTTAAATACCAGTAAAAATTAGATGCCATGGTGGCAACCAGTTTCGAATTTTTCTTAGGTTTTGGGCGTCTGTGTTCTGACCAACTAAGAGTCAGAAATAAATAGTCCGTTTGAAGTTTACAAAAAATATAATACAATTACAATAAAACTAACAAATAGGATTTGAGTATTGGTTAGACCACGGTAAAAAAACGGAATAACATTCTACGTTAATAGAATGACGTGACAGCATCAAAGTAAGTTGATTTGTTTTTCGTTTTTCCGTTCGTTTTGGTAATTTTTTGCTATAATTAATGTTCGTATGGCCCGTGCTCATCTAACATTTTCGTCCGTTATAAGTTTCGTCAATACCCTTCAAAATATGAAGTAATGAAGACTTTTTCAGACCTTATAAGCCCAATCCAAGAATCTGAACCATTCACCATATTAACCAAGGATTACTCCATATCATTTAAACTAGTTGACAGAGTTTGTGCACATATAAAGACCCGATTGATCACCAAACCATTGTATTTTTCAGGTACCAAGTTCCTATGTAGCGAGGTGATAGCGCCTGTCAAGAGCGAAGTGGATGATATTTGTCTTTACATCATCAACTTCGAGGACCTGACCAATCCACAACCATTCGTGGAGGAACCTGCTTCCAACCACCGCCTTAGTAAATGTAAGTCATCCCCATTTACGCATACGCCTTAGTAAATGTAAGTCATCCCCATGTACGCAACCGCCTTAGTAAATGTAAGTCATCCCCATGTACGCATACGCCTTAGTAAATGTAAGTCATCCCCATGTACGCATACGCCTTAGTAAATGTAAGTCATCCCCATGTACGCATGCGCCTTAGTAAATGTAAGTCATCCCCATGTACGCATACGCCTTAGTAAATGTAAGTCATCCCCATGTACGCATACGCCTTAGTAAACGTAAGTCATCCCCATGTACGCATACGCCTTAGTAAATGTAAGTCATCCCCATGTACGCATACGCCTTAGTAAATGTAAGTCATCCCCATGTACGCATACACCTTAGGAAATGTAAGTCATCCCCATGTACGCATACGCCTTAGGAAATGTAAGTCATCCCCATGTACGCATACGCCTTAGTAAATGTAAGTCATCCCCATGTACGCATACGCCTTAGTAAATGTAAGTCATCCCCATGTACGCATACGCCTTAGTAAATGTAAGTCATCCCCATGTACGCATATGCCTTAGTAAATGTAAGTCATCCCCATGTACGCATACGCCTTAGTAAATGTAAGTCATCCCCATGTACGCATACGCCTTAGTAAATTTAAGTCATCCCCATGTACGCATACGCCTTAGTAAATGTAAGTCATCCCCATGTACGCATACGCCTTAGGAAATGTAAGTCATCCCCATGTACGCATACGCCTAGTGTGATTCACCACCACACCACTGTCTTTAAATAGTGTTTTTTTTCTTTTAGGATTGTAGGCAAGATCCCGGGATTGTTTTTCCCATTACCTTAGGCTAGACCTTGGGGTTAGGCATTATTGCTTAGAAAAAAGATTCATTGGGGATTTGGTGGTAATTGAACCCAGGACCTCAGAGACCGAGGTCCCGTGCTCTAACCAGGAGCTCTCCCTTGTCTTTAGAGGTATTTGCATAACACAGTCTATGTTACGCAAATACCTAAAGAACATAGCGCATCGTAAACATATTTTAATCGTTATAGTCATATTATTTGTTGTATAAACTTTCTTCAAACAAATAGAATAGTTAAATATCTTTATGACAGCTCTTCGTTGGTTTTGTAAACAAGACGGAAACAATTTTAAAACTTACTTGTATAGGTAAGTTAAAATACGTAGGTCCGAAAAATTATAGTTTGAATAACCTGATACTTACACTGGTTTATAGCTTAGTTTGAAATCGATGTCGTTTATGTAATAAACATAAAGTTGGATTATCACTGTTTGTTTTTCAATTTCTCATTACAATATGTCCTTTAAGATAAACAATGCATGTTAATATGTTTTTTTTTATTTGTTCTCAGGTGATGTTTTTTCTATACGTATTGAAACCTTATAATTAGAATCGCTTTTGGTTTTAAAACGTATTTACAGCTTATAGAGGTGGTTGGAATGTATTTTCATCCTCAGCTTCGGAACATGGTAATGCCACTAAACTTGGTTCTACAAAATATTATCTATATATTAATAGACAAGCATGTTTCTTTAAAACCTTTTTTCTCAGCTCGTGTGCATCGTAGGGAAAATATACCCATACTGTTAGAAAGATATTTTCCTGTATGTGTGCAGAATCCCTTTATAAATTAAAATAGGCTCAAAAAAGAGTTCAAAAAATGAATTTAAATTTAAATAAAATTAACATGGGCCTTATGGGTTGCTATGCTGGTGACCAAATATAAACAGAAAATAAAAACAAATGGAAGATGTTTTATTTACACCGTGGGGTGAAAAATAGAGAAGTCTGAACATTAGATATTTTTGGTCGAGTTTTCGACCACTGGACGACCTCTAGTATTAAGTACACCCAAACCATCCTGATATCGTTAAGAGCAGAGTTGATTCTATCTAAGAAGTTTGAATTCATCAGCGGTTCTTGGTGATTAGGTTAATTGAACTATAATCTTAATGGCTAAGCCAAGCAAAAAGTTTAATCCCCTATTATATTACAACTGTTATGTACGTTATTAGTATCATTAAGGTATTCATGACCCTTACTATTAGTAAACCTAACTTTGTTCTTATAATATCTTTAAGCTCTACTACCACACAATCCGACCAACAAACTCTTCAAAACATTAACCTTAAGATTATGAATTAATTAAATAATAAAGACTATAATCAACAAGATGCTTTTACATAACGATGATGTAAGCCGAAAAAGTGTATACGATTGATTCCTTGATGCTGTTTAGAGCTTCAAAACATTTTACTAATTCACGTGAGCACGTCAATTGAGGTTTTAACCGTCATACAAAGGAACTCATTGCATTGGACAGTTTTAAATTTCAACTAAATATTTAATGGCAATGAACAATATTGAAAGCATTAACCATATTTGTTTAAGACAAATTTTTTCATCAAAACAACGACTCTAAACATTGCGGGATGTTTAATCCTGTTACCTTTTAGGTTCCCATTAAAATATGTTTGGACAATGCAGTAGGAATACCGTGATGTCAATAATAAGGAATATAGATTATTTTAACGAATATAATTATAAAAACTGTACAAAAAATACTGTATGGTAGATCAATGAATAATGTTTTGTAAGTATGAAGACTATAGTGTTTTTGTTCTCATATACAACAAAACATTCGTTAGTAATGAGCAACTTTTAATAATATTAACCATATGTACGATTTATTTAATAATATGGATAAAAATAAATCATTTAAAACTAGAATATTTACGAGATTTTACTTTTGGTTCCCATTATGCATATGTGCATGGATTAAGTAGAAGAAATTACACAGCACAAATATAAATTAATTATTTTCATTTTCTTAACTATTGGTGAAAAATTACAAACAATTCTTGATATAGTATTTAGCACACTTGAAGGACCTGGACCACAAATAAATTGCAAATTGCCTTTTAATGGGCAGTTAGTCGAACACGGCAACCTTCAATGTTACTCCCAGCAAGTGACAAGTTACTGTTCTGACAGTGTAATGTAATATTAATTTTCTCAAATTATCCATGTAGCCTTCCCATGATACCATCAGTTAATCCGCTCGGGGAGAATCTCTGACGCAACCCTGGGACTTGTCATCAGCACGGATTGTGTATTTAACACTAGTGAGATCACCTGTCAATATTGAAATCTCATTAATGTTAATTGCATATTTTAGAAGGGAATCCTTATGGTTTCATCTTCTAAATTAATACAGTATTGAATTAGAATTAGAACCAGAATCATGATTTTGCACTGCATACAATACACACAGAACTTACTTTTTGTTAGAGATGTCACCCAAACAAATATATATAAAAACACTGATACTTAAACAAAAAAGATACTGGCTCGTTACAAATAAGGACACAAAAATCTAGAGGCTATCAAACGTAACCTCTAGATTATATAAATAAAAAAAAAATATATAATTTATAAATTATATAAAAGTTTATTGTATATGAATGAAAAATTCCAGTATGTGAATGTTGAGTTGGTAAGTCACAGTCTTTTTTTAGTTCTTTTTTTGCATTTCAAAAATGTATTAAAGTCAAGAACTATACTATATGTGGTTAGTTTTTAAGAGACTATTGCAGGATCCAAATACGAAATAAACACTGCACATTAAAGTAATGGTGTGGTTTTTAATTTTAAATAAATTAAAACATCAAAACTTTAATTTGATGCTTAATAACCTTCTCGATTTCACTAGGCAAAACTGATATCAAAACTTACGTTAAAAATGTACTTACTAAACACTTATCTGTTAATAGCATTTCCACGTTTAATACCATGAACATCAAAATCAGCGATTGGACAAGTTCATTTTAGCAGGAACGAACAAGGCAGAAACAAGTTACGTCTAGATTAACAACTATCCAACGCAATTATATGCATTACTGGATCATGAATTTCGTTACTAAGGAATTTTATCAAACATTTCTTCATAATTTATTTGAATTATACATACATTTTAATACATTCAATAACATACACAAGGTTATTCGTAACATATTGCATAAAACTTATTGTGTCCTTTCGATGGTTTTAAAGGGTGATGATTTGTTTTAGGCCCATGAACATTGAAATAATTAAACATAAGCTACCTTAGTGGTACTAGGCTACTCAGTTGTTTTCATTAAAATTAGCCTCTGGACCACACTTGGAGAAAACAAGTTTTAAAGTGACTCTAGTTCCATGAAGTAAACCTTTTATTTTGATACGAGCAACTGAATTACTTAACAGTACATTTTGTTACGTAAAGACATTTATAAAGGTAATTTTTTGTCATAACCAATTTTATTCTAATGTATCGTTGAATACCAATATATTATAAATCATTTTGTTTTTCTCTGACTTGCTCTATCTATCTCAGTCTTCGTAACCACTTGGGACATGTTTCAGTTGACAGAGCACGTCAGTCGTTCCGGCAATCCCTCAGGATGCCTCGTATCCCGGGGAGAGGTCCTAGGGGACTCAGGTTCTCCCAGTCCCACACCCTGACGTCCCCGACAGCCGAGGAAGGGGATGAAGAGGACCCACTCAGGGTCCGCGCGTCCGAGCAACGGTTTGTACTCTTTAAATACAGTAGCTACTACAGGTTTTGATAATGAATAAAACTATACGTTATCAACCATAACAATGGAACTAGTTTAATTGAATTACGCTTATCGACAGAGTGTAGTAATGACAAATATCGGTTTTTTCCTCCGCCTTTAAATCAAGCAAAGCTGAAGGGACAACTTATTTTACACAATTTGTGATATTATAAACTACAGTAACAACAACACATCAACTAAGGGAGATGATATAATTGTGTACAAAAGCGCACTACTTAAGTGATTATTCAGCTCGATATGCTTATCCAGTCTTTCAGTGTATGGACTTATCATTATGGAGGATCATATCGGAGCCTCCAATAACATACCAACAGAGCAATATATTATATCTATGATAATCAGTTTTATATTTTTGTTTGGGGGGGGGGGGGGGGGCAATTTTATCATTTAAACCACTATTCGATTTTAAAATATGAGTAAATAATTTGGCTGAAAAAGAAGAATTTTGTTTTTGAGAATAATGTATTCTTATCGTTGAAATAAAACTGATTGGTAATCACACAGTAATCGGTTATGTAGATGAAATGATGAAGCCATGAGTAATTTTAGTTAAAACAAACCAACTCCTGATAAACATTTAATTTAGGCTATAACAAAGATAACATTTCCATCCCACCAGTAAATATTTATTAGTATTGTATTCACTGAAACAGTTTTAAAATCCCAGGCTAATGATTTTTTTATGAAGTAACATGCTCGCTGAGTAGCTCTTATCTAAGTACTCCCTTAGGTCAGAGATATAAATAGAACTTAAGACTGGTAGTATTGCCAAATCGCACATTATAGAGAAAATGTCAAGTCTATTAACACTATGTGTAGATTAGAAGATTGGAGCCTAGAGATTTGGCACTCGATAGAAACACTTTTATTTGCACTTCTTAGGCAGTCAAGTGAGGGATAATTTAAGTCAACCTCCAATATAAAGTCACAGTTGATTACATTTCGATTAAAGTATACTATAGCAATAAAACTTACTAGGAATCATATTTTATTGTAGTGGTTGTTACTGCATTACCTGATATTGTTTCTCATTGTACAATATACGCGTAGTATGATTTCGCTATTAAATGTACTTTTGTAAGGGTATGTATTTTGAGTTAAGCAAAGGGTAGATGCGTGCGCAGCTCCTAGAATGCCGCCACTTTTATAACCTTAACGTCGCCACCGCCCCCGTGTTTTCCTCTTTCGGTCTGTCTGTTTGTTAACTTTTTCGTTGTTATACGTTTAGTGATATTGATGATTGAAGAACCAATCTTTGTGATATGCTCACAGATGGATCCTGATAGGTGAAGTACATATATATATTTTTTTTAATTTAGTTATTACTTGTCATCATCACGAGACTTCGGTTTGGGAAATGTATACTGTGAGTATTATTTCGCCAAACAACATTGTATATACAGGGTGAGTTTTTTTAAAGTGATCCAATAGCTAACCTTTTAATTACACGACTTAGCACCACACTTTAAATTTGAAACTTGCTCAATTTTAAGTTTCACTCAAGAATACGATTTCAGATTTTTTCATTGTGGCCGCCATTTTCCAATATGGCTGCCAACTTTAAAATTTCTTATGGAACCCCCTGTATATTATTTTGTTTTTAGATTTTACTCTAAAAAATAAAACATTTTTGTTCTTGAGATTTTTTCAATATCTCTAACGGTTAAGGAGCTACGAGGACTTAAAGTTTTCATACAAAGTTGCATGAATTCTAAAGCATGTTTTAAAACAATGTTAGTTTTAAGTGTTGTTACTGTTAATACTTAACAATTTGTCCTCGTAGCTCCTTAACTATTAGAGATATTGAAAAAATGTCAAGAACAAAAATGTTTTATGTATTATATATATATATATATATATATATATATATATATATATATATATATATATATATATATATATATTTATCTAGAAATTTGATTATTTAACAAACTTGTCTTCATTTGAAATGACTTAAATACAAAGAATGCCGTGTATCGCTCTACCATTCTTCTAAAAACCCCCAATCCGGTTCCCAGTAAAATGCTATTGTGTTATCTGCAGTTTGTGTTTTCCTATGTTGTTCTTTGAGATAAAACTTGGTTGGTGTAACATTTGAAAGGGTGCATATAACCATCTTATTGAAACAGTTCTCTATTTTTTCATTCTACATTTCAATTCAACCTAAACAAATACAATGTTTATTGTTCCTCCTAGCTATCTATATTTGACAACTGTAATTGTTTTCACAGAAAAGGAAAACCATGGTACAATTTTGGATTTTGAGTATAAAATATGGAAACAAATAAGATCAAATATAATTAACTAAATATTTTTCATTTATTATATGGATCTGTTGTAAATAATTGTTCTAATAGTTGATTTTGTCATTTTGTTTTTGTAAAAATATGATGAGCGTAAATTTATTTTAACTTCTTGGGATATTAAATTTTATTCAATGAAATATTTTCTTTCAATCGGTAAGAACTGGTCGTCCTGTTTGTATAATATACAATTTTTAACCATTAATATTTTTGTTTGTTTGTTGTCGGTCATTATTAGATATTTTTTGTATCAAGCCAAAAGAGTTCTTTCTCGTTCAACAACTAATTTTTGATTTTTTATCATCTAATATTTGTTTCAAGGGTTTTATTAGTTGAATAATTTATTGGGGATATATAAAGTAATTTTTTTTAGCTTTCCTTTATTAAGTTGTTGAAGAGGTTAGCGTCCTCTTTTACCTTGCATTTTCCCGTGATGGGCCACACACGGGAAGATATTTGACAAGAAAAGCAATGCTTAATATTTAGCCATTATTTTTAGCTACGTTTTGGATAATAGATAGTTTTATTATATTCTTGATCGTCAAGAATTCTGATAATCAATGAGTGAAAACTCGATTCGTAAGAGTTTACCTTCCGTATTATCTAACTTTATACTTGTACCTAAAGGGTTAAATACGTGGTTGCTAAAGCAAACTTTTGTTGTCTAAATAATTAACGGATTCAACCTAAGGTATCAGAGGTTGTCAAAAAGTCGAAAAACAACAAACAAATCGACAAACATGTTTACGAAAAACACTGCGGACATCTGAACTGAATATCACGGTGTTGGTTTAGAGCGGAGGTCTAGACCATTCATCCGACTTAGGGATTACTTTTGCAACCAGGAATTAAACCTTTTTTGTAATTTTGTTCAAACTTGTCATTTTATGTTATCATTGAGTGTTGAAATGTATTGATATAAAATGTCTGGTCGACTCTTTATAATTTACTGGGAATGAATTGAAAAACAACTGTACATTATTTTAATCATATACTGAGAGTCCATTATTATCTGTTACTCTTAATATACTATAGTTTTATTCAAATGGCTATGTTAAATTGACTCTAATTTTACTCTATGATAAGCCAGTTAAAGTACATTTAGAAGTGTTGTTTGTTAAGAAACAATAAACGCACAACAATGCATTACGAATAAGAATGATTAAGTTGGTTAGACTGAGTTGATTCCAATCCCAAATACCAACAAAAACTTTTTTGATTTTTTTTTAAGTATAAGTTAATGGAAAAATAATCAAAAATAGTAATGTTTCGAACGTCAACTAATCAGCTGATCAGCTGATCAGTTGGCAATTTCAATTGTTGATCCGACTTGTTCCTGTTGATACTCGCGTATTCTTAACCTAAGTTAGTAGAAGTTAAAGGAAGGTAGATTAAACTGATTTTAAATATCAGTTAGTGAAAGCGAAGTTGACGAGATGGAAGTGAGAGCACAAACTGTTTGTGCTAATCGTTTGTCACCAAAATCGAAACAAGGTATGAAATTACATACCGGTAATTCATTAAATGGATGAAACAAAATAAGGTGATGAATGAAAAAAAAGCTGATAAATGAAAATATGCTCTGGTTTATTTCGAAAACCTCTTAACCAATTTTTCACCTAACTCGTTGTGGACCACATATTCGATGCTGAAATCTAACTGTAAATTAAATGTTTCACTATTTTATTCAGTCGTCCAAAATAATATGCAATATTTCCCTAATTGTACCTGATTTTTATGGTAAGAATGCTGCTAGCAGAACCTATTCACTGAAAAAGGTAACTTATTATTTAACGAAGTTTAACAAACACGTAATTACATGAAATCAGCTGATTAAACAATAAGTCGTTGCATCACTTTCAGTGGCAATGACAATAAACGAAAACATAACCTCTCTAAGAAGTAATGTGTAGTGATTGTTAGTAATTAAAAACCAGATTGTTAGTAATTAATTAAAAAACGGTCGTAGGTAAAGTAGTGTAGGCTACGCAACTCGCGTTAATAGTCTATACGTCACTCGTAGACGTTTTTTCCTACTCGTGTCGTAAGGACTAACTTACTATTACCGCTAGCGTTTGATAATTTTAAGCATTTAATAATAATAAGCATTTAATTATTGTATTTTTTTTACATAATTTTGTGTAATTGCACCATTGCACGTTACATAATAAAGAAACATCTTTAGTGAGTTTTATTCCCATCTACTCGTTCACAAATCAGAGCTTATTTGTTTTATTTGGGCTATCGATAATGAGTTAAAATGCAACTTAGCAGAATCCTTGTAACATACGTCAATGAGAACTTTGCAAATGTAACGTTTGAAACTGCGCTCAATTGTTCATGGGTATTGACAGGTTATATTCAAAAATAAGCCTTCAACTGAGTTCTTTATGTAACAAGTACTCTATTTTCATTCTATGGGTAGCCTATTATTTTCACGTTTACTAATTGAAAATGTGACGTGGATACATGAAAAACTGGATCTAAAATGTTAAAACAATAGATCCAATATAAAAAAAAAACATTTTCTTATTGAAAAAGTCTTATTTTCTGGTATGAAAAAGTAATAAGGTTTGTTAAAAAAAAATAATTTATACGAGCATATAAAAACAGAAACATTGCGTAAAGATAAAATTGTAAGTAGTTTAAATATGGTACAATATGATGATGAGCTTTATAACATATAATTAGAAAATCAACCTTACATACATTTAATAACAAGTCAAATGTTTTAAAACGAACTATTTGGACATTTCCTATTCAATTAAATAATTATCATGTAAAATAAATGTCTTTGTAACGTGGATTCACTCAACTTTGTATTTCATTTACATATTCAGACATTCTTCATTGATGACGTAGGCTAAGTGAAAACGTCATGTATTAGAACATTGGAATGACTCAAAACAGTAAAGAGAGAATTCAAACTGGTTAATGTTTAAGTAATTGTAAATCTTATAGTATTGGTTTCAAAAGTAGGTATAAAGTAAATGGTTTATTCAGCTAAACCTTTTAAGCCAAAAATATTATTTTATTACATTTAGCGTAAGAATTGACACAAACTCACAGTTTAACATTGTCTAAAGTACGTTAATTGTTGCTTTTGTTCGTAACATATAATAAACTTATAAACAATGTAATAAACTTCCAAGGGTTGTATTATATTTTCTTCTAAGAATGTTCTAACAGAAAGTCTGCCATTATTCAACTCGTATTTTTCTTCAATATCATGAGTCATGCCGTCGTGATAAATGGAGGCATCTTCCGGCTGCTGCTACGTCCATGCAGAGAAACTGTTAGTTGATTAGGGTTATCAGCAAGGCTTAACGTTGTACCAGGATTTAGCACAGAATAATTAATTGGCCCCGTTTGAAATTTCGTTTAAAATACGTAAAACATAAATTAATTTTCATTTATTCATTGGCGTTCAAAAGAAAAGATAATTTATTTCTTAACACCTATAGGGTGTGTTGTACACTGACAGCTTGGTCTTAATTTGCCTGACCTGGACAACTAAAATTGTGATATTTAAGCTATGTTTATGAGATTATTTTCATCTTAATTTCGTTCGATATCATATGTTTAATGGCAAAGAAAAGTGTTCTTGACATTTTACATAAAATCTGCCTTTTTTGTAATTTAAGTTACAAACCGCAAAACTATTCTATTAGCCTTTTAGGTCAAATTTTGTTTACCTTTAAATATGTTGTAAGTTTTTATGTTTGTTTGAAGTTGTTGACTTTTGAGCGCTTATATCGACTGAATGTTTTTTTCTTGCTAGGGTATATATGATTGGATTTTATTAAATATGATTCGTGTTTTATTCTCCGGTTATTATAAAACTAGAGGAGAAAATTAATTGTTTTGATTGTAATAGGTTTTGCTAATTCAAAAATATTTAAATACCAAGATACAAAAATAGAACAAAGGTCTAAAGAACAATTTATTTATCATAAAAAGCAAAGTGAATCGCTCAGTCATCGCCACTGTAAACAAGTCATTCCATCATAATCTTTATCCGCTTTATACCACAAAGTTGATTTTATGTTTCCTTTGAATGAGTCTGCGTATCCTCCCCCCCCCCACCCTTGAATTCTGAAATTCCCTGATAAACGCCCGTATTTGATATTGTAATTTATTACCTTTTATATTTTATTATTTTGGTTCATACTAATGTCACATTACACTATTAATAATGTTTACTAGTTTACTTAATTTGTTAGTGTTTGTTAGGTAAGTATTTTATAGAGGGATTTACCAGACATTTTTACACATCCGTATCATATACTTTATATGTTGCATAGAGAAGGAATGTCGTATACCTTTATATGAATATACAAACAGAAAGGCATACACTTTAGTACCGGCAGGTTATTGATTAAAATGTAAAAAATATATCACATCAAAATACACTTGTGCTTGTTTAAAATTGTACAAAGTATAGCTTTTGGGAAATTTGTTATGTTCATAATACAATATGTGGAATGAATGTGTGAAATGGTTCAGATTATCCCTCAGTTGAGTTTATCCATGTTGTAAACCCAAAGTTACACGTTTACGAATGAGGCATCATTATTGAGTTTCAGAAGACTAAGTGCCGAACCAACCACAACCACGGTGATAGAGAACGAGAGACTGAGAGCCACAGAATCTGTCGGGGGCGCCACCTCGCCGCGGGGCAACCATGTGGGGCTACCCACGGCGCCACCGCCTGCACCCATCGCCTCCCCAGAACAGGTGGGCTTGAGTTAAATAGTTACAACCACCATTACAGTAGGCATGTTTAAACCAAACTGAGTATACAGGGTGATTGATATAAGGTGCCAGCCATTTTATTCGAAAACCATAAGAGATATCAAAAAAAAGTTAAATGGTAAGTGCCTTGGATTTTTTATTTTAAAAATTGTAGTCAAGTCGAAAAATTTTTTTTAGCTGCCATTTTTCTAATATGGCCGCCAACTTTGATTTTTCTTATGGAACACCCTGTATTTCATGATATATTCCGGTAGAGAATGTAATTTTAAGACGATTTTATTCTTGGATTTTTTTCATAAACCTAACCGTTTCAAAGATAATAATGGTTAAAGTTGTGAAATTTTGAATAGTTTACATAAACATGTTTACATAAACAGCTGGCATGCTTGCTTAGGCCTTTATCGAAACTCTTTCTTATGCCTAATTTTTACAACTTTAAACATTATTATCTTTGAAACGGTTAGGTTTATGACAAATTTTACAAGAATAAAATCGTCTTAAAATCACATTTTCTACCAGAATACATCATAAAATACAGGGTGTTCCATAAGAAAAATCAAAGTTGGCGGCCATATTGGAAAAATGGCGGCTAAAATTTTTTTTTTGACTAAAATTTTTTAAATTAAAAATCCAAGGCACTTACCATTTAACTTTTTTTGATATCTCTTATAGTTTTAGAATAAAATAAAACGCCTGGCACACTTATATCAATCACCCTGTATGTAAGAAAAATGTCACACACTGCTAAAAGGTTGCACCACATAATCCAGGGGTTGTCATTTGGTTCTCCATTAGTCGCCTCCGTCTGCTCCAATCGCACTAATCCCACTAATCCCACTAATCGGTGGGTTTTGGCAAGATACTAACAACATCTATTATCGTCAAGAAGAACTGGTAATATTGGAATGAGTACAATTTTAAATAAAAACATAACCAATATTTTACGAATTTATTGTAATATTAAATTTTAATTTTAATAAAATTACAAATTTATAAAATATTGGTGTTTTTTTATTAAAAAAATTGTAAAATCTGTTATATTCTGAATGCTAAGTATATTTCATTTGGGATAGAAAACTTTTCGAGGAAGTGGGTCCCTAAAAGTCCACCTATACCTATCACCGTCCCAGAACAGGTACAACTAATGATTGTGAATACGCACTTCACAATCTGTTTTCATTTTCAGCCCAAGAGTTGAGTAAAAAGAGCAATATGTAACTCGAATATATCTTAAGCTTACGAATGTTTATTCTATACAAAGTAGATCCTAAAAGATATTCTAAAGACTGTTTAGGGCACCTCATAGCCTTTATTAGCTTAAAAATACGAAACCTATTGCTTTTCAATACTGGAAGCATTTTGTAGACTTCTGAGAGCTCCACATTTAATAGAAACTACAGACTACGCTCATTTACTGCCACCACATGGGAATTCACTTGATTCATTGGGTGTAAAAAGGGTACATTTTACTTCTATGATCGTTAGTACTTTAGTCACATGCTAAACGGATTATTCTAACAATTTCTTAGGAAAGGTTTTAGCTATGTTGGACTTCGCAAGTTTTGTACAAGTTTAATGAAAATAGCTACGTTCTTCATAACTTAGGAGATGGGACGAACTTGTAACGTGAACATGAATTCATTTTGATATGTGAATTCACAATATTTTATGTTCATTGTAGCTATTTAAAAGTTGGAAAGTTTGCAAGTATTTATTTACGGATCAGTATAATCTAAATGTCAATTTGTATCCATTAGTTCTAATGAATGATTCTAATGAATTCTAAAGTATGAATGTTCATTTATGTCTAGCATTTAAAATCAATGATGTTTGTCAATAATTATGCCAAAACAAATCTTTAGCTATACTACAAGTCGAACCTTGTTCTCGTCTTGATATTTGGTGTAATTCAAAATGTCCATCTCATTTATGAATCTCCTTTATAATTGTCTGCCTGTAATTGAAAAAAACCCTACTTTTAATTTTACAAATAAAAGTCTTTTGTTGTACTATCTATACCTACTAGATAGTAGAACACCAAAATATGACCATCCATGAACGATGTTAAGCATTGATTTTCAATAGGTGCTAAAACAAGCAAATGCGCATTTGCAACGAGTCAACCCATACTGTTATCAGAAGTAACAGCTATTATCAGTAATGTAGGTTGAGTGGTGGGTTAGGAGGGAGCGTTATGTCACCACTGATCACTTTAACGGTTGTCCATCCAGTCATATGTAACGGTTGGTCTGTTTGTGGTAACATATGTTCTACCAACGCCGATGTAAAGTGAATATTCCTGTTTATGGTCTTCCTACGAACACTTGACTTCTAGATGAGTCAATAGTTTCTGTCTTGGCAAAATATGTTCAGACAAAAATAGAAACTTGTGCTTATTTATTGTTTGCAAACTACAACGTATTTTATATTGCATGTAGGGTACACAAGGACGTATAGACACGTTTAAGAAACTTTTCATACTACCAGTACTTTAATCCAAACTGTAATTTAGGGTTTTCTTTAAAATAAAGCTTTACATACAATAATGTTCATTTTTTAATTTCCGATAGCTACCACTAACATATAAAATAAATATTACTACTGCGCACTAGGAAAGTACTTAGCTCAGGATAGTACTTATAATTATCTACGTATTTGGAGTTAGCTGAGTGCAAATATCACAAAAACGAATGAACTGTCAAATGATACAACAAAATCAAACTGTCAACTACCTTAACAAAATGAACGATGCTTCATTTAGTTTTAGATATAAATAGATATAAGTTAAGTGAGACTCTTTGCACAGTAATACACGTAATACAAAGATATTTATCTGATAAATAGCATTATGTGTTAAACATTGTTATATGAATGATACATTATTTGAGACCTTACTACTTTGTCCAGCCTACGAAGGCAAACCAGATAAGAAAGTAAAAGGTTTTAGACTTTGTATAATATATCAGTATTATCATTATAATACTATTCTATATAATTTTATATTGCCAGGATTGAGTTTTATAACTATTTTGGAGATAAAAATAGTGAAAAATTACTGCAAAGTTGATTTTAATCAAAAGCTTCAAAATATTCATTTAAGAATATTTATTTGAAAAACATAAAGTAGCAAAACACTTATAATGCTAAGAGAATTGTTCCTACAAAGTTTCTAAAGATAAAATAAAAATAGCAAGCAAAAAGAGAGCAATAAAAAAGGGGATACATACGTTTTTAAAATTGAATAATTGCCGAATTTAAAAAAATATATCATGTGCATTAAACTGAAAAACTACAATCGAAACCTTTTTCCCTGATTAAGTGAACGATCTGGTAAGTCACGTATACCAAAGAGCTCTTTGTGAAGAACCAACGATTGTTCGATTGGTAGACTATTTTAGTGGGGAGCGCCATCGAGAAAAAACTAAAACGATCTCCAGGTAGGCCTAGACTTGGCAGAGACGTGTCGATTGTTCCTTGAAATACACACGTTTTATCGATTGGAAGGCTTCGTTAAAACTCGTTTCATCCACAATACTGAGAATTCGAGGTTTAAATTAAGATTGGGGGACTCGTCTAAAATAACTTTAGAACAAGGTTTATAAAATGTGGTAATTTTCCATTGTAATATATTGAGATTGTTTTATAAAATTGTGCCATTGCAATACTGTAGTTGTCTTGACGAAATAGTTCAAAGGTCAGCTGTTTTACCTAATAAAATAACCGTAATGTTAATTGAATCGGTTAATCCTTATTATAATTAATTGTATTTTCTAAGTCTCCAATGACTAACATTTTTATTCAATTTATTTTAGTAGGTCCTATGGAGGTCTTCAGGAGTAATTTCTTTAAATAAATAATTTGTTTACATTTGTATTAACTTTCTTTCTAATCCTGGGTAACGATTAAATTATTGTATTTTATTGTTTTAAATATTTTGATTTTATAAAATATTTTACCAGAAAACTTAATTTTGATTTTTTTAAACAACATTACATATTATAGCAAAATTTGGCTTTTAGAACAAATACTGTATTACTTTTCTCTACGTGTATTTTTACTGTACATAGTGTAAATTAAACAAACTGAAAATTTATGGCAGAGTTCTAAAGCCAATAATGTGACCCAACTAATACTTGGGGTATAACTTGAAATGTTGGAATCAGTTCATAAATCAAATTTTCAATAGTTTAAGGTTTATAATATTTGTTGTAATAAAACCCAAACTTTATCCACAATACTGATGATAAGAGGTTTATATGAAGCTTCTTTTTAGTGAAGATTAGACTTGGCTTCCTTCGGCCATTTCTTTCACGTTATTAATGATTTACGTTCAAGCAGTTGTCCTATGGTAATACCAACAGATATGCTTGTAGAAAAAAATAATTTATTTTGCAGGCTACGAATTAATTTAATTCTAGGTAAAAGTTATATCTTGGTAATAATGTTTCACTAGGTACAGTAACCTTAACCACAGAAAGCATACAACTATAACCTATATAGTATATAGTAGTAGTATATATAGTACTATAACCTGTATGTTATAGTAGTATGTTTTCTGTGCCTTAACGTACCTCATAACACTCATCTTGTCGATTCGCTTATTCACGTCATGTAAAATACAAATTGTTAAAACTGTTTAACAAAATTTTAACTATAAATACAGAACTTATATAATATGGTACAAACTCAAACTGACGGCACTCAAATCATTTACTGTTATAATTATAGCTTTTCATGCTGAAATTGTTTCGTTTAGTGTATGTCTCATCTGGTTAGCTTCCAATTACAATATTTTATAGTTAAAGATTATGTTTTGTTTGCGCGATGCATTTCTGAGTATCACTGAGGAACGCTGGGAAATGGAATGATCAAACCAAGACTCATGAATATAAAGAAGACTTCTGTGACATATGCTGTACTCAGGCGTCTCTTATACATACGTTTTGTTTTCCTAATGTAATTTGTGAGCCGAAACATGTTTA